TCAGCTCATCTGGTAATGCACAAATCTGGTAGGAAGGAAAATGGCAGCACAGGCTGAAGAGTATCACAAAAAGAATTCATTAATTGACATGCTCAGCCACATGGTATCAAGAAATAAGATTTAATTAATAAGGTTTTAAAATAACTGGTAGTAGGCTTTAAAAATTGTCTGGTTTGAGACAAGGGAATGAAATTCACACTTGTTTTAACGGTGATGGTACTTTAAATAGAGTGCCTCGGGAAACAATGTCATCAATACTACAAAATGACATGATCTGTGATGTGTGAGAATCATGTTCTTGAGCAACATATTTCTTATGCTGGAATTCAAGACTGAGGAAGGTTAGGGAAAGAATGTGAGAATGACGCAAACACTCATAGTTACTTCCACAGTTACATTGTTCCTTCCTTCCTTTCCTAGCCTTTGGCTTAGAGCCTTTCTGAGCCCACGGTTTTCATGTACAAGAGCTATTGGGGGATATTTTCTTCCAATCATGTCTAATACTTTTGAATAGTGTGCTCTTTAACGACTGCAAAGGTACTGGGGTATATTTTTCCATTCTGGGATCCACAACTTTGCTGAAAAATGAGCTCTACAAACTAATTATGAACCACCACCACACTCCCCCCGCAAAAAAAAAAAAAAAAGAAAAAAAAAAGAAAAAAAAAAAAGAAAACAAAACCCAAAACCAACACATGCCTTGCTTTATAGCTTCATGTGCTTCCCTGTCATTCTTGGATTATGAAAACTAAGACATCATCATTTCTTATCAATCTGCTTTCTTTGTCCTATCACAATTTTATAAACCTTTATCATATTCTTCTTCAGCCATCTGTTTTTTCAAGCTGAAGAGTCTTAGCCTATTTAATCTCTTTTCATAGAGAAGCTGTTCCATATTTCTGCTCATGCTGGTTGCCCTTCTTTGTATCATTGCTATTTCCTTTTAGAGATGGTAAGACTAGAAATGCAGAGTATTCAAGATTTGTGGAGGCACAATGGATTTGCACTCAGCAGAATGCTGTCTTCTGGGTATTTTTCTATCCCTTTCATAGTGATTCCTAACACCCTTTCCTTTTTTTTTTTTTCCCCTGCAGCTGTGATTTCTACAGACAGTGATTTCACCATTCTTTTTTCTCCCCTACCACTGATTGAGAAATAATTATTGTAAATTTTTGCTCTTGTCTCTCTTTAAAAGTATTTTCAGAAATTTTACCAATACTTGTCTGGGCATTTCTCAGACCTAGGAACTTGATGACTATTGGGTAGCATGTGAAGTTTAGTTGTGAATGGAATGTGGAGTCATTCTTGCATCGCCACACAAACTTTCCTGAAAATATGCTAAAGGCATTTGGGAACCAAATTAACTGAAGCAGGATGCCAGTTAATGCAATCTCTCAAGAGCTAAAGTAAAGATGCTAGGAAAGAGTATTTCTCTTTGAAGACATTGGACAGTAAGACTGCTCTTGCTAACCTGGGTAGACGAGCTTTAGTATGTTGAAGGAAAAGTCCTGTCAGCAGAAGTGATGTGACTTAACATCCAGGATTTAAGGGCTCACCAGCAAGACTCAAAACTGTGTGATCATTTGTACAGATAAGATTGTTAGCGTTTAAAATAATTAGCAGTCACCAGTGGGGTTTTTTGGTACCAGGCAAGCAACGTTAAAGAAAATAAAGTGTCTCTATTGTGCAGCAATTAGTGTACCACTTTCTCAACTGGTACTCTGTTCTTCCTTCTTGAGAATCCAATACAGAAAAGAAATTCCAACTAATAATTGGAAACAAAGAATACAGGGTTTTTTTTACTCTTCTCTGTTCCAATGTGGACATTTCCTCTATTTTTAGAATGATGATTGTTAGAAGATCTGCAGAAAATTGAGTCTATTCATCTTAGTCAAGCCATTTTGATTTGCTTCTTCATTTTATTAATCTATTAAGGAAAGGCAATATTTACTCACATAACTCAAGAGTACTGGGAGTGATAATTAATGCTTACAAGAAGTAGTACGATTGAAGAGCTATGCACTTCCAAAGGATTATTAATTTTATTATTATTGTTATTACTGTACTGAGCTATTGGAAATTACTAAAAGATAGGCAATTACCATGGATTTTCTTGAGATTACTTTGTAGGGTATTAAAAGAAGAGTGTTACACTGCAGAAAACTCATAATGAAGTTGTAAAAGTGAGATTACATCCCATGCCTTAAAAGGGTACTGTCCATCCATTAGGCTACAAAGTAAAAATAATGAAGAAATACTACATGATAAAATGTGCTGATCTTTCTTCTCACTTGCAGTTGTAGTGACTCATTTACTGCTTGCTCGAGAAGCTTCCCCCCCCCACCTCAATGATTTTTGAGTCACATGCCAGAAATGTTTGTAATTTTGGGAAAATGTTATGGTCAGTGGGCAACTGGTTTCTGCAGATTAACGAGGCCCCATTTGTCAGCTGAGCTGCTGAATTATAGCTGCCTCCACCAGGAATGTGAGCCCAGGGCAGCTTCTGTGTTCCAGCAGGTGATGAGCCTCCCCTAAGCCGTGGTGACAGCCAGAGTGCCACCAACAGCAGCACAGCTGGGTCAGGAGATGCCTACCCCCGGTGCTGCCAGCTCCAGGCTCTTGTCCTCTGCTTTATAGGACACCTCCTTCAGTTAAATCAGTCTGGCTACAGGACTGCATGCTAAAGTACACAGTGAAATGGATCCCATTAAAAACAGCTCTAACGCCATCACTTTGGGAAAGGTTTCTTTTTAAAAATGGGTCATTTATAAAGCTGGTTTAGAATATGGCTGTACCTCAAGACTTTCCCCATGAAGATTTAAAATAGCTTTGTTAATATCCACTTTAAATGGCTATTTGGTTTAATATTCTTGAGTTTCCCATGAACACAAGTTGAATTATCCTGTGAAGAAAATTAATTCATTTCCACTGGCAGTAAGGAATAATTTCTTATGCAGAATTTCTGCCTCTTACTTGACTGGATTTCTAGACATTCCAATTTAGGTTCTTGATGAGTTGAGAATAAAAGATTTCCCTATTCTAATCTGAAAGATTAATTACAGAACAAAGACTGTCTATGAAGAAAAATGTTATTCCTCTTCCTTTACCCATGCTGAGAGAAAGTAATTAGTTAGGAGTCTAATCAAACTCCAAATAGGATTTGTACAGTAGGTTAAACCACCTCTGCCCTTGCTGGCACCTTGCTGTTCTGGGTGCTGGAAAGAGCTCTGGTATAATTGCAGCAGTCCAGGAACATAACAAGACACTCTGCCTGTGACAGCAATCTGAAGTATTGGAAAGCACGACCCAGAGGGACATGGAACTTCACAACAGCTGACAAAATTGTGCTGCAAAAGCTGCAAGTGTGGCAGTGCCATGCAGGTAATGCCTTGCTGTGGACTCAGCAAGGTGGTGACTCTCACAACAGGCTCAACCAACCCAAGTTTTACCTGCTTCATTTGGGATATACTTTGTTGGGATATGAAGCCAATCCCAATGATGCAGTAAGTGTCTCAGTGTTGACAGAAAGCAGCTTGGGAGAAAAGGATCTGGGGTCTTGGTGGATACAAGGCTAAACAAGAGCCAGCAACATGCCCTTGCCACAAGGAAGGTGAATATTATCCTGGGCTGCACTAGGCAAAGTGTTGCCTGCAGCTTGAGAGAGAGATCCTCCCACTTTATTCAGTGCTGGTGAGGCCACACCTGGAGCACTTTCCAGTTCTGGGTTCCTCAGTCCAAGAGAGTCCACCAAAGGGCTGTAAAGATTCAGAGGCTGGAGCACCTCTGCTGTAAGGAAAGTCCCAGCTGAGTGAGCTGGGACTGTTCAGCCTGGAGAAGAGAAGGCTCAGGGGGATTTTATCAGATTATACAGATACCTGAAGGGAGGGTGCAGAGAGGATGGAGCCGGGCTCTTCTCAGCAGTGTCAGTGACAGAGTCAGAGGCAATGGGCACAAAGTGAAACATAGGAGGCTCCCTCCAAATACCAGGAAACACTTTTTCATTCTGAAGGTAACTGAGCACTGGCACAGGCTGCCCAGAGCTGTTGGAAGCATCCATAAAGATCATCGAGTCCAGCTTGCTCCTCACAGGAATAACTAGAACTAAACCATATAACAAAGAGTGTCATTGAGATGCTCATTGAACTCTGGCAGGGTTCGTGCTGTGACCATTGCAGTGGGGAGCCTGTTCAGTGACTGACCACCCTCTCAGAGAACTTTTTCCTAGTATCAAATCTGAGCTTCCCCTCACACAGCTTCGTTCTGATTTGTCATGTCCTATCAGTGATCAGCTGAGAGAGGAGCTTCCATCCTTGGAGATATTAAAAATCCATCCATTGGGTAACCTGATTTAGGTGGCTGTGATTGAGCACAGCGGTTGCACCAGATACCTCCAGAGGTTCCTTCTAACTCCAACCGTTCTGCGATTCCGTGACTTATGATGTTCTTGACTGATCAACCTACAGGTTCATGCTAAAAAACTCCTCTGCAACAGGACGGATGTATTTAATGTAAAGCACTTCACTGTATCATGTCTGCTGGCCCATTTTTGTTATTTGACTCAGTTCTCTCATGGCTACTCCTTCGGGGAGTTTGCCCATCGAAGTGTCCAACCAAACCCTTACTCCAAGACATTTCACACCACAAGCCCCTTTGTCCACCGCCCTGTGAGGATTCTCACCTCCCAGCGAGGCGCGACGCGGACACGCTCTCACCCCGCCATGCGGGGCTTCGCCCTGAGGGAAGGGGCCCCCTCTGCAGGCGCGGGGATTGCGGCTTGGTGCCGCGCCGGGGGCCGGGCTGCCGGACCCCGCTCCGGGGGCAGGGGGCTCTGTGGAGAGGGGGCATCAGGGGCAGCGGGCTCCGGCCCTCACGGCCATCGCCCCCGGCGGGGCGGGGCCGGGCTCGCCCGACGCGTTTCGAACGGACCAACGGGAGGCGCGGAGGGGGGCGGGAGCGCGCAGGCCCCGCCCGGGACTTTAAAGCGCCATTTTGTGCTGGGCGCAGGACATCGATCGCTGCTCACACCCGGCGGGCGCCCCGGCGGCGGCCGGAGCCTGCCTTCGGTGCTGCCTCCGTTCTGCCTTCGCTCTGCCTTCTCGGCGTCTGTCCCGCCACCGCGTCCCGCTGCCTCCATGACCCGCAGTAGGAAGCAGGCGGCGCTGGAGAGAGGAGCCGGGAAGATGAACACAGAGGCGGGGAGCGCCGCGGCGGTGGCCGCGGGAGCCCGGGCGGCGACGGCGGCAGGGGCAGCCGGCGGCGAACCGGCGGCCGCCGCCTGGGGGCTGGAGGGGGAGGCGGAGAAAGTTGTGTACTCGCGCTCGCAGGTCTCCTTCGCCGGCACCAAGGCGCTGGGCGACGCCCTCAGGCTCTTCATGCCCAAGTCCACGGAGTTCATGAGCTCCGACTCGGAGCTGTGGAACTTCCTCTGCAGCCTCAAGCACGAGTTCTCCCCGGTCATCCTCCGCAGCAAGGACGTCTACGGATACTCCTCCTGCCGCGCCGTCGTCCCCGACCCGCCGCCGCCCTCGGAGCGGCCCCGCCGCCGCGCCGGCAAGCGGCGCCTCCCGGCCGCCGACGCCAAGCGCCGGGCCGGGGCGGCGGGCGGCAGCGCCAAGCGGCGGCGGCGGCGGCGGCGCCGCAGGAGGGAGCGGGGCAGGCAGCGGCCCGCGGCCGGTGGACCCCGCGCCCAGGAGGAGGAGGAGGCGGCGGCGGAGGCGCCTGAGCCGCCGGGCCAGCAGGCGGACAGCGAGCAGGGCAGCCCGGCGGCGGCCGCCTGGGAGCCGTTCGGCGGCAAGTCGCTGGAGGAGATCTGGAAGGCGGCCACCCCTCGCCTCACCACGTTCCCCACCATCCGTGTGCGGGGCAGCATGTGGAGCCGGCGGAGCCTGGCGGCGGCGCGGCGGCGGGCGCAGCGGATCCTCGGCGTGGACCTGTCCCCCGTGGTGCGGGTGCGCCGCTTCCCCGTGGCACCGTCGTGAGCCCGCGGGGGCTCCGCTCCCCGCGCCTCACCTTGGCCGCGGTGCGGACAAAGAGACCGGTATCAGTCACCTGTTTACATTGCTTTTGTCTGGATCGTGTTCTGCTGCTGCACTTTATGGGCCGCTCGGGCGGCGCCGGGCCCCCCGCCGCACGGGGGGCGGCCTGCCGGGCCCCGGCCTCGCCCCGGGCTGGGGCCGCCTGACAGGTATCACGCGTGGGGACCAAGTTCCACTTTTTTTTCTCTCCCATTGGGCTACCTCACTGGTCCAGAAGTCCACCCAAGAAGTTATTTTCCAAAGGAACTTACTTTCATGCTTGTATAATAAAGCACCATCTGATTCTTGCTATTTTTTTTTCCTTTCCCCCTTCCCCTTTTCCGATGGATTATGTATGCTTTGTGGTGTTGCACTAGTATGTGCTCAGGGTATTTTGAATCCCAAGCATTCCCAAGTTTCAGTTTACTCTGATAAAGGATGCGTAAAGAATGGAGGTTCAGGACTTGTGGCTGTTCTTGATGGTGCAAAAACTTTTTAAATTTTAATTTCATGAGTTTAGTGATATATAAAGATGTATCGCGCAGTATAATTGTTACACTTTTGTATCTAAAGTCATTTTTAAAGTTTTCTAGTTGAACTAAGTATTTGTTTCTATGGAGCACCTAAAGATAGAATCATCCTGATATTTTATAACCCTGTTTGCTTTAGGGAAGCTCATTTGGTCAACCTAAGTGAACTTAATAAAAGTGAAAGAACAAACGGTGTTTCAGTTCAATGAAACTGCACAGGGATGGGTTCCTGGTGAAGTACAGCACCGCTGAGGCGCTCTGTGTCAGTGAGCTCTGGCTTTGAGAGGAATTTAGCTGCTTATCAAAGCAGTATATTGGTGTCCGGAGGTGAGCTATGATCCAGCATTGGTACTGACAGCCATAAGTGAGAAGCTTGCTTGACACAAATATGTCACTGAAGTGCCTCTCTCTGCAGAAAGAGTAAGACTCAATATCTGGTCACTCGATAACAAACTAACACTCGTCCTGTGGTTGTGAGATGGTTAATGATGGGTAATGGTGTTTAATGTAATTACTTGCACATAATTATTTTTATAAACCTTTCATGGGTTCCACAGTAGACTGATGAAAAATTCATTATGTAGCTTGATTATTTTGACTGAAAAATAACATGTAGTGATTATATATGATAGGCAGTCTCTCTTTAAGCTGATTTATTAAAGGTTTTTTTAGCTCTTATGCTTTGCAGTTGGTGTGTGAGGAGCAAAGGTGTGTGTGTGAGGGAGAAAGTGATGGATTATTCTCTTTTTACATTCATTTTTTTTATGCTTGCAAGACGATTAAGAAATGCTGGATAAGGCACAGCTTATGTTCCAACTATCCTGGCAGATGGGACTAACCAGTTTTCATGGTGGAATGAACAACCTCACAACTTGTTTATTGAACAATTGGTGATTTAAAATTTCTGATGTCTCTTGACTCCTCATTGCCTGCCTTCAACAAAGGCAGTAAGACATCTTGATGGTGTAGGGGCTGCTTGTAAAAACTTGCCAGTGTTAACGTAAAGCAGACAGCTTCTTCTGAAAACCTGTATATTTTGTTGGTTACTTAGTAAAACTGCAAACTCCTTATTCTTCCAAACTAATGCTTAATCTATTCTACATCCATTTGGCTTTTGAAATTGTTTACATAACGTTAGACTGTCTGCCGATGGCTGCAGTAGTGCCACGTTGCATTTCAGAAGTGAATTAAATGAAAGTTCAAGGGTGCATGTTGTTGTGCTGTTCCTCTGGGTATAATACCTGCTTAACTGTAAAAGCAAAATTGGGTTGATTTAAAACCCAGTAAGGCAGGCTGCAGAGTTACCAGGTGCTGAGGCTCCAGGTATTTCAATTTTGAAATTCTACTGCAGATACACAAGAGTATCATTACTGGTTCTTAAAGTGTCTAGGTGATTTCAGTGCTCCTGTCAGGTTGAGGGTTCTTTAGTATTATTTTCAACTCTGTAGAAAGATGATAAAATTAAGTATCTGGCTTGTGCAGATTCTTAACTCCTAATCAGGCGCAGGACTGGCTAGGTCAGATTTCAAGGGTGAGAGTTAAGACTGCCAGAGGTATGATATGGGAGATACTGTATTAAATTTGTGCTGCCTTGTTTGGAGGCATATCCTGAAATGTTCCACACAAGAACAAAATATAGTGAAGTACCTTAGAACTCTGTTGAGTGACTCTTGCTCTGGGGGCTCTATGAGTAAGATTTGCTGATTTTTCTCTGGGTTGTGCTTGGACTTCTTGGTTTAGAAGCGGGAGCTTTATTGGGGCTATAGTGTGTTTTGCTGATACCCAGTTAGCATGTTGGGTTGAAGTCTCATTTGTGTCTGAACTCCTCTGACAGCTGCATTTACAGATTATTATCTGAGCTATTTCAGTCTGTGAAGTCAGTTAAGAATGGGACATCTTTAGCTGGGTTTTCTGGCGATGCAATGAGCTGAAATAGCTCAGCAAAGGTTCTGACTAGAGGATGGGGTGTGAAAGCCAGCAGGTCTCAGGGAAACCAGACCAGCTTATTTCATGATCATATTCATGGCAGTTTGTGGCAATCCAGGACAGGATTGTCTGTGGTCCAGTTTCCCCCCATCTTTTTTCCTCTCAAAGGTGCTATTCCCACCTACCTCTCCGTGTTCGTCTGAGGAAACTAAGCAAGCAGAAAGCTTTGGTTTTAGCTTTGGCTTCCCTTCAGCCTTTTTGCTGTAGACCAGATCTGGGGGAGGTTGGGAAGGGGCGTGTGCTATTGCCACAATAGTGAGTTAGATAATTTTAAACATGGTGGCAGTAGGGTTTTTTATGAAAAGGGATGATACTATTTTTGTACTCTACATATATGTGTGATGTTGGAGTTAGTGTAATGGATTCGACAAACCTCTGGTCTGACTCCATGTGGCTGTTCCTGCACCCACTCTGAGCAGTGTGAGAAGTGTGAGATGCTTGATTTAACTCAGTGGTTTCAACATCCTGTCACATGGCGCTAATTCTGAGACTGACAAAATTCTTGCCCAGAATAAATCCAGTGTACAATGCCCATTCTACTTTAGTCAGCATGGATAGTCTCATATTAAACAGGAATTTTGTGGTGGCCTCTGTTGCTGGTTCCCTCTCTTATGAGCTCCCTTTATAGAATATAATATGAGCTATTTTTTTTACTACATCTGAATTTTCAACCAGTCACTCAAAGGTTACTGAACTTCAAAATATCACAGAGCCAAAAAGAGTTGGACGATGGCTCTGGATGTCAGTTGAGGCGACCATTGGTCTAGCATGTTGCCTGGTGTGGTCTTTACATTCAATAGGCAGTCTTTTCCTCTGAGTCATTGCACAAATACATTGTTCAGGACTAAGCTAATAAAAGGAGAATGCAGTGCAAGAGTTCTTCCAAACTCTATTGTTACATAAAAGTTTTCGCATCAAAAGGATCAAAGTGTACAACTGGTCCCTGAAACCCTCTGTTGCTAGTCTTTAAACAACAAAAAGTCTTAATATGCCCAAACCCTGTGCAGAGCATCATTGCATTTGCAGAAGGCAATTCTAGTACTTGGATTTTGCATTGGAGGGATAGGGAATATTGTGTACCTGTATTTCCTTGCCTATCAGAAGCAAAAGGCAGAGTGAATCTGGTTTGAAAATTTCAGCATTTATCCCAAATAATTGTTCACTTAGTGCTTCTTCAGCAAGGTGGAGTCCTGGGCTCTTTATACTGTTTAAAATAGTTGACTTATGGTAATATGTGTTGGCTCAATGCTGCACTTCAAGTCCAAAGTTTGCATGCCTATGAAGCCAGTAATACAGAAAGTGTCTCCATTTCCTTTTGGCACAATGGATTAACACAAAAATTTTGATTTGTATGTATGAGTGAAACCAGTGATTTGGGGTTGAACAGAAGCTTTTGTTTAATTTGAAATGCTGAGGTTTTGCTTGTGTCTATAAACACAGGAAATCTGGAAGCAAAGGACTAGATTGACAAGAGTGAATGGAAATACCTCATGGAAATGAGGCAATTCATATAGAGAAAGAAGATAGATCCTAGAAATCCTGGATTTCAAAGACACAAATTTCAGTGCCACCTTTGTTACACTTGTAAGGGTGAACTTTGAAGTTCTGTGTTGTGGAGAACCATGTTATAAGAGTTTGAACCATTTAACTCTGTACAATAAATACTCCCTAAGTGAGAAAAGATTACTGAATATCACAGTTTTAGGGAACACCTTGCTGCTTTATTCACTATTTATTTTAGGTGAGCATAACTGCCTTAACCAAAAAGAATGAGGCAAACCCATCCCATGGTATTCTGTGGTAGGGAATCTGCTCAGGTGGTGATTGCAAATGTGGGAGTGCTCCTGAAGGTTTATTCCTGAACTATAATGAGGCATCCAGTATATGTGGTGGTAGGACTATGTAGGAGCATTTTGGAACACATCCCTAATCAAGGCAAAGCTAATTTTTCCTACTGTAAAAATAAAGCACACATATATATATATATATATATATATATAATCAGCGTTAATACGTAAATATCTTCATAAAATTACAAAAAATTTCTTGCCAGTATTTAAAAAAAAGTTTTCCAGGGTTGATTCCAAGAATAGAGTCTTATTTATCCATTTATTTACTGTAAAACTCCTCATGAAACTGCTTAGTAGTAGTACTCAACATTATAGGAGATGGAAGAAGTGGGCCTTCATTCATTCATTTTTACTCAAACAGGTGTGCAGCCAAACAGAAAAGTCTGTGGTTCCCTGCACTTTCTGCTGGGCTTTAAGAAAGCTTCCATTTTGGTTTTCTTTCAGCCTCCTTATTTGAGACTATAGAAGATTAGCATTGATAGTATTGAAGTTGTGAGATGATAGTGTCAAAGGAGAGCCCAGTCTCTTGAACTGCTCTCATTGTTCTGGGTTTCTTGTGTTTGAGTCTGTGTGATCCAAGATGCCTTTTCAAAGTATTTTTGAGAAAGAAGTCTCTTTCCATCTCCCCATGAATTCCAAAGAATTCTAAAATGAAGATTCTATGTTATTATTATGTTTTTTCCTTTCCAGTTGAGTGGTTGAAATAACAACCATCCACTTTATACATCCCAGAACTGTTAAAGTAGTT